ACACAGGGTGACACAGGGTGACACTGGGTGACACAGGGTGACAGTGGGGTGACACAGGGTGACACAGGTGACACAGGGTGACACTGGGGTGACACTGGGTGACACAGGGTGACACAGGGTGACACTGGGGTGACACAGGGTGACACTGGGTGACACAGGGTGACAGTGGGGTGACACTGGGTGACACAGGGTGACACAGGTGACACTGGGGTGACACTCACATGGTCAGTGCCATTGACCACGCCGAGCTGGGGCCGGGACAGGTCGATGTCAAAGGTGTCCTCCCAGGAGGGGACGAGCTGGGGGAGGGGACACAGCTGTCACCCCGTGGGGGAGGGGACACAGGTGTCACCCCGTGGGGGAGGGGACACAGGGGTCACACTGGGTGGGGGAGGGGACACAGGGGTCACACTGTGTGGGGGAGGGGACACCGGGGTCACCCCCATGGGGGAGGGGACACAGGGGTCACATCCGTGTGGGGGAGGGGACACAGGGGTCACCCCCGTGGGGGAGGGGACACAGGGGTCACACTGTGTGGGGGAGGGGACACAGGGGGCACATCCGTGTGGGGGAGGGGACACAGGGGTCACACTGTGTGGGGGAGGGGACACAGGGGTCACATCCCTGTGGCGGAGGGGACACAGGGGTCACACTGTGTGGGGGAGGGGACACAGGGGTCACCCCCTGTCCGGGGGTTGTCGCCGCCCCCCGGGGGGGGTCTGGTACCAGCGGGAAATCATGGGGATCGATCCACAGGATGCTGAAATCGGGATTGTCCCTCTTGTCCTGGGCCACCTCCTTCAGGATCTCCAGGAACTCGAACCCGTCTTGGGGGGGTCAGGGGGGGTTCAGGGGGGGCTGGGACCCCCCCCGGGACCCCCCAATTCCCTTCCCGTCCTCCCCTCACCGGGATCATCCCCCTCGGCAAAGGCCACGATGTGGGTCCCATCCCAAAGGTCCTCCTGGGGGGACACGGGGGGGTCACGGTGACGTGGGGTGTCCCCCTGAGTGTCCCCCGAGTGTCCCCCGAGTGTCCCCCGAGTGTCCGCGAGCTTTGGGGGTCACCGGGGTGGGGGTGGGGATGGTGGGACCCCCGCACTCACCCAGTTCTGGGACGTGCTCTGAGCTTTGAGTTTCTGCAGAGTGGCCCTGGGGGGTTTGGGAGAGGGGGGGGTGAGGGGCACCCCAAAATCAGATCCCCCCCCTCCCCTCCCCCCCCAGGAACCGCTGCTCCCCTCCCCCCCCCGGCTGCTGCTGAGGGGGGGGCTCAAATTGGGGGGTGGGGGAGAGGCAGCGGTTTGGGGAGGGGCAGAAGAGCTGGGAATGGGCAGGGGGTGACAGGGACGAGCCCCCCCCGTGTCCCCCCCGGTGTCACCGCTCGGGGGGGGCCCCGAGGGTCCCCGATGTCCCTCGGGATTGAGGCCGCGGCGGGGGGAGGGGGGGGATGATCCGGGGGGGATTAAAACTGCGGGAATCTCCCAGCAGCACCCGCGGCTTTAACCCTGCCCGGCTCGGGGGGGGCTCGGCCGCGCCCCCTCCCCCTCCCCCGGGACCCCCGAGCCCCCCCCGGGCAGAGCAGACCCCCCCCCCGAAGCTGCGGGGTCACCCCCGGGGCCACCGTGGGAAAAGGGGGGTGAGGGGAGAGGGGGTGTGAGGATCCACCGTCCCCATGGCAACGGGATCCCCATGGTGACCATCTCCCGTGGCAACCACATTCCCTTGGCAACCATTGCCAGTGGCAACCTGTCCCCATGGAAACCTGTCCCCATGGCAACCGGTCCTCATGGCAACCATCACCCAGGGCAACCACATCTCCATGGCAACCATCACCCCATAGAAACCTCCTCCCATAGCAACCTGTCCCTATGGCAACCACACCCCCACAGCAACTGGTCCCCATGGCAACCTGTCCCCATGGCAACCTGTCCCCATGGCAACCATCACCCAGGGCAACCACATCCCCATGGCAACTGCATCCCTGTGGCAACCATCACCCCATAGAAACCTCCTCCCATAGCAACCTGTCACCACGTCAACCATCACCCAGGGCAACCATCACCCCATAGAGCCCTCCTTCCCTAGCAACCACATCCCCATGGCAACCTGTCCCCATGGCAACAATCACCCAGGGCAACCACATCCCATAGTAACCTTCTCCCAGGGCAACCACATCCCCATAGCAACTGCCTCCCATAGCAACCGTCTCCTCTCAGCATCCCATCCCCATGGCAACCTCCCCCTGCCCGGTTCCCCAGGACCCCTGATTTGGGGAGGGGTCCCCATTCCCCACCGCTTGTTGCTCTCCATGGAGGCCTCGAGCCCGTGGGGGTCCCCGGGGTCCCCCCGAAAGCTCCGGGGCTGCTCCAGGAAGGGCTCGAAGAGATGGAGCTGGTTCAGCCCCAATTCCCAATCCCAAATCCCAAATTCCCAGTTCCCAAATTCCCCATTCCCAATTCCCAATCCCAAATCCCCAATTCCCAATCCCCAGTTCCCAATCCCCAGTTCCCAATTCCCAATCCCCAATCCCCAGTTCCCAATCCCAAATCCCCAATCCCCAATCCCCAATTGCCAATTCCCCATTCCCAATTCCCAATTCCCAATCCCCAATTCCCAATCCCCAATTCCCAATCCCCAGTTCCCAATTCCCAATTCCCAATCCCAAATTCCCAGTTCCCAATTCCCAATTCCCAATCCCAAATTCCCAGTTCCCAATCCCCAATTCCCAATTCCCAGTTCCCAATCCCCAATTCCCAATCCCCAATTCCCAATTACCCATTCCCAATTCCCAATCCCCAGTTCCCAATTCCCAATTCCCAATCCCCCATTCCCAATCCCAAATCCCAAATTCCCCATTCCCAATTCCCAATCCCCAATCCCCAGTTCCCAATCCCCAGTTCCCAATCCCCAATCCCCAATCCCAAATCCCCAATCCCCAGTTCCCAATTCCCAATCCCCAGTCCCAAATCCCCAATTCCCAATCCCAAATTCTCAGTTCCCAATCCCCAATTCCCAATCCCCAATCCCCAATCCCCAATCCCCAATCCCAAATCCCAAATCCCCAATCCCCAGTTCCCAGTTCCCAATCCCCAATCCCAAATTCCCCGTTCC